TTTTTTTTTTTTTTTTTTTTTTTGGTACCAGGGATTGAACTTGCACTTGCAAGGCAGGTGGTGGAACCACTGAGCTAAATCCCCGGTCCTTGGCACCCACATTTAAAAAAATTGCCAGTGTTACAAAGCCTTGCTGCCTGTCCCTTCGTCTCCTCCTGCATCCTGCGCTTGGAGAGTGCCATGTGTCGCTGATGGCTGTGTCGCCTCCTGCCCTCTGAGGTCTACACGCTGTTGGTCTGTGCCGGATTGACAGCTGTGTCCTGCCCGGGGCTGTCTTGTCACAGGTCATTTACCAGCCACAGGAGGCCGAGCAGACAGCCTCCAAGTCCGAGAAGCTGGACCCGCGGCCTTTCCTGAGGGTGCTGGAGGCCATCGACAATAAGTACCCACCCGAGGAGCGTGGGGACCTCCTGGTCTTCCTCAGCGGCATGGCGGAGATCAGCGCCGTGCTGGAGGCCGCCCAGCCCTATGCCAGCCACACGCAGCGCTGGGTGGTGCTGCCGCTGCACAGCGCTCTCTCCATGGCCGAGCAGGACAAGGTATCCCGAGAGGCGGGGTGGGCAGGGCCTCCGTCGGCCAGGGAGCTGGGGTCAGGGGCCGCTCTGCGTCCGTCCAGGGCGATTCAAGGGTGGGGAGTGGTGGTGTGGCGCCTGGGCTCTGTGCCAGGGGCGCTGGGAGCCACGGGAGGGCTCCGCGCAAGGCATTTTTGTGCCAGGTGTGCTTTGGCTGCCTGCCAGGTGAGGGCTGGGGCCGAGGATTTGAGGCCAGAGGCTGGTGGGGAGGCTGGTGCAGGATCAGAGTGGGAAAGGCGAGGCCTAGGCCAGGCGGGCTGGGGCGTGGGACAGGTAGGAGATGCTCGGGGCCTATAGGGAGGCCGGGCCTGGGTAGCCGGGGCTCTTTAGGGGATGGTGCAGCAGAGGATGCTGAGGGCAGGGGCAGAGGTGTGAGGGCCCCGACAGGGAGCCGGGGCTGTTAGTCCCTGTGCCTTCTCCTCCCTCCCCAGGTGTTCGACGTGGCACCCCCCGGAGTCCGGAAGTGTATCCTCTCCACCAACATCGCAGAGACCTCGGTCACCATTGATGGGATCCGCTTTGTTGTGGACTCCGGTGAGGGCTGTCCCTGCGTGAGCGCCTGGACGTTGGCAGCTCCTTGCTGCTTTTTTTTTTTGCTTTTTTGCCTGGGGTGGTGGTGACAGCAGAAACCCTGGAACCTCCTGTTCCGAGGCGAAGTGTTTACGGGGCCACCTGTTAAGCCCCTCATTCCCTGTTGGAAGCTGTGTCCCGTTTTCGCAGGTGCTGAGACCTGAGAAGGCTGGTCCTTTGCTCCTGACCCTGGCCTGCCCGGCCCAGGGTGTCAGGTGACTGAGCCTCCATGTAGCAGACCTGGGAAAATGAGTGAAGGGCCGTGGCCCTCAAAGACTGCAGGCCGGGACGCGAGGGCGAGAGGCAAGGGCCGGGTCCCACTGTGCCGTCCACCCCGTCCCACAGGGAAGGTGAAGGAGATGAGCTACGACCCGCAGGCCAAGCTGCAGCGGCTGCAGGAGTTCTGGATCAGCCGGGCCAGCGCCGAGCAGCGCAAGGGCCGGGCG